TTCAGTACTATTTCATATTGTTTTACAACACATGGCTTTAGCCCTCTGGTGGGAAAGACTTCAAAACAAAACTTACAACAGTTACTTTTCTCAACAACTGAAATTTAGAATAGTGAGATTAAGAAAAACATGTGAACTGCTTGCATTTTCAAATTAATATTGAAATGTACAGGTTTAGAATTTTCTACAGTGAACAGTTTTCGGAACTTCAGTATTCAAAAAAGTATGCAAAAGCTAGACGTTAAGAACGTATCCAATGAGCGAGCAAAGCGAGCATTGGATTGCTTCGCAATCCGAAAAGAACTGCGAAAGCAGTTCCGGGGGTTGGCGAGCGCCAGCGAGCAGGGGGCGAAGCCTCCTAGTGTGTTTATAAACTTTTACGGGCCTGATAACAAAACCTTTAGGTAATTAGTTTATTTGATAAATTCTCTGCCGCCATCTGGTATTAACTTCGTGAAAACTTTTGAAATAACTTCTTATTTGTACTGGCAGCATTATTAAAATTAAAGAAATGAAACTGAGAATTCAATTTGTGGTACGAAATTTTATGTTTCGAAAATTATAGTTTATTCATTTCTCATACAAATTTCAATACTATATCTGGGCTATCATAGGTCTGATAAAGACTTTCTTAATATAAGACAAAAATTTGAATATAAGTGTATTTTAACCGTTCGAATTTTCAACAATTCAAAAATTTTATTCTCATAATTTGGTATTTCTATTTAACTTCATTCTTTACAATTGTTAATGTTGTGGCATCGTTGTACAGAGAAAAAAGAAGTTAAAATTGTTTCTGTAATCTCCGTAACCTCCATTCCTAATTCGACAAGTGTTGACTATTCATCGGATCCATCGCGAAATTTAAATATGTTTGGGAACTGTGATCATTCGCTGACCTATATGCTAAGGGATCAGGGACATTGGCGAACCTAAGTAATAACATAACTAGGGGACATATTATTTAAATTGGAATCTTTTTTTATTTTGTAGAATACATAAATTTTTATCGAGTACTCAGAAGGAATTTCAATTCATAAGAACTATTTTCCGATTTT